GTGTATATTAAATTACTACGGAATTAAGCTAGAATCATGTAGAAAACGAATCATCTCCTATAACAGCTAAGTTTTCCAAAACTGATGAAGATAAGTTGAATTAAAGTCATCAACACATCATAAGCAAACCTGAAGCTTTCGCTGATGATGTCGTTTAGAAGAACAATGAAAGCTCCACGACTGAACCATCCAGTTTACAGAACAAAACTCCATCAAAATCCTTTTTTTCTGGTTTTCATCGTAATGTTTATTCAGGTTTTTGTCCGTAAGAAATGAAACAGTATTATTGTATCATTAAGTCCGGTTAATTATCACATAGTTTATTCGCCAATCGAAATACGACTTATTCAATCTTAGTACTGTGTTAAACCAATGACGCTCGACCGGTATGAGCATCATAGCGTCCTTATTGGTCCTTTGTTGATAACAGCTCCCAGTATACGAATCCTTTATTTCAAACACACTTGGTTTATATACCAGACAAACAGACCACATCACGCCATCAAATAGGAAATAACATTTATACAAGATGTAGTCAAGAAGTAGCTATGGTAGTGATTGTAGGAGACTATTCAATAAACTTGACATAAATTAAGAACAGTAAATCGTACAATCCTAGTCCATGGATCAAAATGAAGCTTACAATAAGAGGAATATGAATATACGTAATCTGGTTACTGAACAGTTATACAATAGGAATATACGTGTAATATTAGTCCATTAATAGTTGACAGAAGTTACCCATAATTTAATCTTCACTAGGATAAAACAGATAACATTGTGCTTACGTCAGTCATAGTTCTTTGTTCACTGTTGGTATAATATTCTAACGAATTAGACTTCACAATGGTTTTTTACAAAGAAAATAAACCTCGACTAATCAGAATAGATGAAAGCAAAGAAAGTGGAATGGAACGATTGCATAACCTAATAAGTCATTTTATTATAATAAGTATTCTTGATAATTTCTTCGACATTTCAAGATTATTGTATACTTTAAAACACTGCGCCAGTGGAGTTATTCGATGTCGGGTAGAGACAGGTAACTTCCTCAGTACAACAGAAGATGGGGATTGGTTGTAGTTAGACATTAACACCGTTGGAGGCCGGCTCAGTGGTCTAGTAGGTTAAGCGTTTGTGCCCGAGACTGAAGGCCCTGGGCTCGAATCTGACCAGCGGGATTGTGGATGCGCACTGCTGAAGAAGAATCCCACAATAGGACGAAACGGCCATCCACTGCCTCCAGGTTATAAATAGTGATCTAACATCAATCGGTTCACGATCTCAATTAATAACTTAATAATCTCCACAACCCCTATACTGATAAAACACAAAATGGCGAATTATGTTATTAATCCGAGAAATAAAAACAAAGCAATATCATTACATCTAAAAACAGTCATATGGAATGGGGTTGCTAACCCCATACCCAATCCTCTTTCTTTATTCGGGCTTGAGATTGAAAATAGCCTCAGAGGGGTTTCAGTCCAAGTTTTCTTTTCAGTGACCATTAAAATATACAAATTAATTTCATTGATTTAATATCTCAAGCAACAATCGTAAAACAACTGAAGGTAATAACTAAAACTTTTTGTAACCAAGACACTGTCAATGTTGCTGAATAAATTGAGCAAATGATAATCTTTTGTTTACATAATTTATGATGAAACAGATTTTACATTCCAGAGACTGAATATATGACTAGAAAAGTCATGTGATAAGTAATAATTGAATTCTATTATGAAACTTGTACTTTAGCATTTATCTAAATGACTAGATATTGTACAAGTTAAATTGTAATATCGGACAGTGTGAAATGTGTTACGAACAGACTATTTGGAGAATTATAGAAATGTAAGATTCACTGAGAAATGGTTATTTTTTAAGACTGGATCAGTCAATAGTAGGCATCCTAGAACTAGACGACATACGACTATCCGCTCTAGAGTCCAATGTTTATGATGACAGACTAAAATTGTTTATGGTTGAGATCATGAATTAATTGATGTTAGACCACCGTTGGAAACCTGGAAGCACTGGACGACCGTTTCGTCCTAGTATGGGACTCTTCAGCAGTGCGCATCCACGATCCCGCTCCCCGCGAGATTCAAACCCAGGACCTACTGGCTTTGCGCCTGAGCACTCAACCATTAGACCACTGAGCCGGCTTGCAATGGTGTTAGTGTCTAACATCAACCAATCCACGAAATTGCGCACTGCTGAGGAGTCCCATACTAGGACGAAACGGTCGTCCAGTGCTTCCAGGTTTCCAACGGTGGTCTAACATCAATTAATTCATGATCTCAACCAAAAACTTAACAATCTCCACAACCCCCATACTGATAAAACTTTTTAGTTGAAAGAATTTGATTCAAGTCCTTATGTTCAACCAGTTTATAATATAATATTATTATCATATAGCTAGATGTATAAGATGATATTCTGCTTTCAACACTCATTCGAACTTCCTGAAGCTTATGAAGAAGACACGTATTGTTGGACAAATGGTTTCCCTCAAATTAAATTACTTGTGAAGGGATTTTATGGTTTACTTTAAGAATCAATATTATATAACCTGGACATAGTAAATAGTTGTTCCGTCTTAGTTTAAATGTTCTACAGACTTATCCAAACTCAACTTCAATTGGAATGACAGTTATAGATAAATACTCAATTGTTTCCATATTGTTATGAAACTACTCATCAAGACTATTACAGAAAAAGTTATATTTATTAAGTTTACATCATTATTTTCATCCAAATTATACTAAGACGAAATCGCTGTCCAATGCTTCCAGGTTTTCAATGGTAGTCTAACATTGATCCATTCATGGTATTAATCTAAACTAAATAATCTTCACATATTGTCTACATTTCATTTTTGTTTCACAATTTCATCTTAGAGAATAAAATTGATAAGCCTAAAAGCTAACGTTAAAAGTACAAAGGATTTTATTATGATCATGAGTCCATTGAAGCCAGACCACTATGGGATATCTGAAAGCACTGGACGGTCGTTTCATCTCAATATGGGACTCCTCAACAATACACATCCACGATACCGCCTCGGGAGATTCGAGCCCAGGACTTATTAGTCTCTCACGCTAGCGCTTAACTTCTAGACCACTGAATCGACATCTAGTAGATATTAATGTCTAACTTCAACCAATCCACGAACTTACGCCACCGTCCACTATTGTCATCAGTAAGTTACTATCTTACTACAGACCCGGTTGAACTTCACAAGTCATGACTTTTATTATGATCAGCATATAAAGTTAAACTGTTATCAGCTGATTACATAATATAAGTAAGCATGTGGAACTTACGAAAGAATAAGCAAAGATGGATAGAGGCTAGCAGTGGAATCTAGTTAGACGCGCATTTCGTCCTATTTGAGACTCGTCAGCTAGATTTACCTGCATCCCAGAGTTGATGTTCACTCCTGAACTCGAATTCAATACCATTCGCTTCAAACATTATCGCATTATCAACTTAGCTACTGAGTCCTGATAGCCATCTGCTTGTGAAACGGAATGAAGTTTTTAATTTACTTAGTGTTGTTTTACTTGTATCTTTCCATTATTATTTAGGACTGTAAATGATCAGTCCCGAGGTGAACATCAACTCTGACATGCAGGTACATCCAGTTGATGAATCCCATATAGGATGAAACGTGCGTCTAATTGAATTCTACTGCCAATCACTATCCATTTTTGCTTAAAAAGTTTGTGACTTATCGAGGTAATCCCCACATTATGCACATATACCAATAAGAGACTGATCAATTGTAGTTCTAAATAACAATGGGATGATACCAGTAAAAACAAAATCAAGTGAATTTATGAAAGAATAGTTTATTTAATCATAAAGGATATAGAGTAAACTACATATGATTCTAACTATTCATTCATAGATAAAGATGTTTGTCATTACATAAAGTATATATTTACTTTTATACATATGAGACAGTGTTTGTCACATGTATATCATAAGGAAATTAGATAAATATTGGTAAAAGAACCATCCTATATGTGTATATATACACTGTGTATGAGTGTATAGTAGCACGTGTTCCTATGCATGGAAATTAAACCATTCAAAGTATGTATGTAAGTAAGAAATAACCTGAAACTCTGTCCTATATACATTTTAGTTTATGAAACTTTACACACACACACACACAAATGATAAGCTTTAGATACACATTCTCGTCATTTGCCCATGTGTGTATTCACATCTACCTATCTATCTATCGGTTTCTAGATGAATCGGTGCATATATTCAAATTTATATGGAAACTACATATGGTATCTATGTGTATATATTTACACATTATGATTATTATTGTTGTATTTTCTTCTTGATACACAATCATAGATAGTTACTGCCTATCAGCAAACTGTTTAGTCTAGGAAATCTGTTCATTTAGTCTTTGACCATAATATCTACCTATCTACCTATCCATATATATATATGTGTATATGTATTTCATAAAAGTAAGTGCATATTGGTTTACACCAAGAAAAAAGAAAAGAAAAGAAAAGAAAAAAACAAGGAACAAAAAGTTTTCAACTACAAAATGTATGTCTGTTTGTAATAGTGGATAAGAATTACAGATTTAAAAGGCGAGAGAGGGGGGAGGCGGCGGCGGTAATGATTCATAATAAATTGTGAATAAATTTACCAGAAACAAGAAGAAAGAGAAAAAAACTGATCATAATAATCATAATAAAACTTAATTAAAATAATCATCAAGATAAAAATAAATGAAAAAAGAGAAAAAAGAAAAGAAAAAAGAAAAGAAAAATAACGAAGAAAAAATCATTAGAAATCAACTCATCATTAGTGTTTCATGTGTATATATATCACTCAATTAAAGAGGACCATATACAATGAACATTCAATATAAGATATTCAACAGATTGTTTATTATATTATCATTGAAATGATTCAAAGGATCCATCTTGATGGATTTTATATTATGAATAATATACATGATGGAATTATATAATTCTATGTTTATTTTATATTATTGTATATTGTTCTGATTATGGAAAATCATCTTGATCATAAGTTCAATGATACAGAACTTGATTCAAAGTAAGTAACTAATTAATGCTTATTATTATTATTATTATTATTGTTATTTGTGGATTGGTTGAAGTTAGACATTCATATCTATTGGATGCTGACCGACATAATGGTGTAAAGGTTTAAGCGTTCATGCATAAGACTAATAAGATCTAGGTTCGAATCTCATGAGGTGGGATCTTGGATGTGTACTGCTAAGAAGTCCCATACTAGAATGAAACAGTTGTCCAGTACTTTCAAGTTTTTCATGGTGGTCTGACTATGATTGACTCATGAATTCAATTATTAAATTATAATTATGAGTTATTATAACATTATAATATTGATCTTGTAAGAGATCTGTGATCAATGTCATTTACATATATAGTTTATAAGTAATGAATTGTATACAATTCTAAATCAGAAGTCATTTGATGTATTACATAATAGGCTTGAGAACATTCAGTTGAAATATAATAGTCTATAGATTGCTTTTGAATCTAAATCCAAGCGAATGACTATTATTCAATATGATCCATCATTTGATACTGATTCAATTGACTTTATTCATAAGAGTTTTATGATATTTATATTAAATGAATCACTAATGAATTCATCATTAATTCCTTTCAATTAAATAAATACAAATAAATAATTTACGAAGTTGCGTCACCGTACACCATTGTCTTCGGTGAGTTCTTATCTTCCAACAGACCTGGTTGAACTCCACTGGCGGTCAAACTTCAATTGACTCATGATTTCAACCAGTGAAATTTCTAAAATCTCCACAAAACCCATTCTCACAAATGGATAATTCACAAGATCTGATGAAACTCAGTGAAGTGCATAACTACAGATAGTAATGTAGATATAACGGTGAAGTGATAATTTATGGATGACTTTTCAGCGATGGTAGATTGACCTTGAGAGTGTCCACCTAAAAAAACTAGGATCAAATGAGGGTTATAAACCAGTGTGAGGAATTAGAATTATGATTTACAGTTGATGATTAAGGTTATGAATTACATTTAGGATTTTCATCATGAACTGACATCAGCTATGATGCCAAAACTCTATTTAAACAAATAGATGAGTGAATTTTGCGCCATAATCCGAGACTTGATTGGTTCGTCCACAAAATTATAGTCTTGTCAAATATCATTTCTGTATAAACTCTCTAAAAATGTGGAACATACTAAACATTATGATATCCTTATTATTATAGTATTATGAATTAAAGGAATTTGATGGCAGTAGATACACTATTGAATGTAGACTATAGAAGATTCGAACCATGTGTTGTAAAAATCTACAAACTAACCAGAGATTTACTAAATAAAACGAAAGGTTCATTCATTTATCTAAATCGCTACAAAATAAGATTTAACGTCAGATAATTTGAGCTGTTTAACGGTTTACTTAGGTTTCGTATTAATTGATAATCGTAAACTCCAATATTCCAAACATCCCATTCCTTTAAACCTTCGGATCTACCTTTTTAATGAGAGACTTTTCATAGAATCTATATCCATTGCTTGTTACTGATTTATCTATAGTTGTCTAATATCAAAAACCTACTGTATACAATCACATTTCACTTACAGTGATAGTCACAAAACAATTCGATCGATTGAGTTCATGACCTCCAAGATCTGGACAAGTTTAAAAACAATTACGACTTAATGATCATTCATTGTATTAGTAAGACTTTTTAATAGTTCAAAGGACTTTCAAGACACAAGTAAATCCTTAAACATGCTTTAATAAAATTGAATTCTTTTTGGGTTTAAGGTTAGTGAATATATATTTTATATCCATTTAAAATGATCAATAAGGGGTTCCAGAGGCTGTTAAGTGTTATTAAGATCACGAACGAACCTAAGTAAGATAATCATTGAGAACTCATCAACGATCTTCCATATCTCCATCACTGAGGATTAAACCCGGGAACTTTTGATTCAGCGCACGAATGCTTATCCTTTAGACTATTAAACCAGAATCTAGTAGTGTACAAATATAGGGATAGTAATTTAGTATCAGTTTGTATAATCTCAACACAGTGCACGGAATGTCAAGTTACTTAGACTAGTGTTCTCGTTCACTACAACACTAGATGGATCAACACCCCTCATATATCTTGGTATGGCCGAGAGTGGGGAAATTCAGCTCCCTCTCTATATGCTCTCATATGGCCATGTGCATACAACCACTACCAGGGAAGTCCTACTCATTACCTTTTCGCGGCAATACTGTTGTTTACGAAATTGAGAGGACGAAAAGTGAATGTCTGGTGCTTTAACCAAGCCGGTGGACACGGACAATTCACCTAGGGGAGTTGGAAGACCCTGATTCCAAACCGATGGTGCATTTGAGCTGCAGGATCCTAAGGGAACAAATGACATATGAACCAATCGTTGGTCACAGGCTACCATGCGACTGCATCTCTTGACATTGCCCCACTACCTTGTGGATCAGACTTTAGGTCAAAGGCTCCGGGTATCGCTCCCTAAGGAAACCACCTGTTTTGGTTAATTGAAAATTTTATTTTCTTACTCTTTCTCAAATTAAATTATTTAAACTTCATTCTACGTGTTTGTATTTTTAAGTAATAATTTCGTCAATTGGTTAAAGTTATACATTAAAAACTTTGGGTGCCGGTTCAGTGGTCTAGAAGTTGAACGATAGGTCCTGGGTTCAAATCTTGAAAGGCGGGATCGTGGATGCGCACTGCTGACTTACTTACTTACGCCTGTTAAACCCAATAAAAGATAAACCGCCGACCACTATGTCCTCGGCCTTCCTTTCTAGTTCCCTCCAATTGTTCTTCATTCTTATCATATCTGTCTCCATTACTCGGTGAAATGTGTTCTTTAGTCTTCCACTTCTCCTTTCGTCTTGAGAATTCCAAATGTGTCCACTCCACTTTCAGCACTTCTTCCTGATTTCTTCCTCCTCCCGAATCTGATTTGTTCTCTCTCACAGTAGGTTGTCGATGATAGTATCTGGCCAACGCATCCGAGGTAGACAACTGTTAATCATTTAAAGGGGTTTTGTAGAGATTTTAGAAATTTCACTTATTAAAATCATGAGTCAGTTGAAGCTGGACCACCATGGGAAACCTGGAAGCATCATCTGCTCACTAGTGGCTGACTTCAAGAGATACTCCTGGAGTTCTAGTGAGACGCCGTTACCAGTGGAGTTCACCCAGGTCTGTTATGAGATAGTAACTCACTGAAGACAATGATGTACGGTGGCGCAACTTCGTGGATTAGTTGAAGTTATACACTAACACCGTTGGATGCCGGCCGTCTCAGTTGGAAAACAACATTTTTACAAGAATTAGCCAAATGTGGCTGTGAGTGTGGGAGGTACTAAATAATAGACAAGGTCTATCTCAAGAATGATAAATCGTATAATAATAGTTCATAGGTAAAAATGAAGCTCATAATAAGAGGGACATGCATATGAATAGTTTAGTTATTTAACAATTATACAATAAAAATACACGCATAGTATTGGTCCATAAATGGATCCCGAAAGTTACCATTCATTATGCTTATCGGAGCATAACACAACCATTGATATGAGTACAATTGAAAAAACTAAAATTCTGAATAGAAGTCATTGGAAGAATCTTAGAGCGTTTTAAGAAGCATAATCAGTAGAAACATTGTGATGGTCATGATCTACCAACCTAAATGAAAACCATCAATTAATTACATGATCTACAGCCAACTGAATATGAAAATCAGCTTGAATACATAGACAAATTTTGATAATAAAAGCTGTGCGAACTACCAAAAGTAAAACAAGTTCACTAGAATAAACTAATTTAACGCTTATGAAATATCTATGAAGCTTATTTCAAAAATCATCTTATCATGCTAGACATTTTTAGGTAAATAAACAATCGACTAAAGAAAACTTTTAAGTCGCTGAGGAAGAAGATGAATGTATGACTGTTGATGATATCATTTATTTAAACAATACAATCGTACTTTAAGCTAGTTACTTACTTACTTACTTACTTACTTACTTACTTACTTACTTACTTACTTACTTACTTACTTACTTACTTACTTACTTACTTACTTACTTACTTACTTACTTACTTACTTACTTACTTACTTACTTACTTACTTACTTACTTACTTACTTACTTACTTACTTACTTACTTACTTACTTACTTACTTACTTACTTACTTACTTACTTACTTACTTACTTACTTACTTACTTACTTACTTACTTACTTACTTACTTACTTACTTACTTACTTACTTACTTACTTACTTACTTACTTACTTACTTACTTACTTACTTACTTACTTACTTACTTACTTACTTACTTACTTACTTACTTACTTACTTACTTACTTACTTACTTACTTACTTACTTACTTACTTACTTACTTACTTACTTACTTACTTACTTACTTACTTACTTACTTACTTACTTACTTACTTACTTACTTACTTACTTACTTACTTACTTACTTACTTACTTACTTACTTACTTACTTACTTACTTACTTACTTACTTACTTACTTACTTACTTACTTACTTACTTACTTACTTACTTACTTACTTACTTACTTACTTACTTACTTACTTACTTACTTACTTACTTACTTACTTACTTACTTACTTACTTACTTACTTACTTACTTACTTACTTACTTACTTACTTACTTACTTACTTACTTACTTACTTACTTACTTACTTACTTACTTACTTACTTACTTACTTACTTACTTACTTACTTACTTACTTACGCCTGTTATTCCTCATGGAGGAGCCTAGGCCACTCATCAGGCTAGCGAAGATCTATAACTCATTTAGATGATTTTGATAAAGTTTTATTCTCTAAGCTGGATAGTTTGTTCATAGAGTTTTCATTATTATTCTGAACAACATCATTAACACAAACTTTACAACCAAATATTTAGATCAGAGAACAAAAACTTCATCACAATATGGTTAGCTTATTAATAACTAAAGGAAATATCATAAAGAAAAGATGGATAGT